GTGAAATTTTTCTAATTTATGAGAAAAAAGCAGTGTACATGGATATAGTGAAGAGTGTGAGCAATGCCATTTTTGTGCAATTCTGGGATGTTTTTTTAAGTAAAAATAAGTCGTGTACATGGTTTTTATGTGTATGTGTTATTTTTGAAAAACAACGTAAGGAGTATGGTCTTGTGCACTTTTTCCCAATTTTTTGCAGTGATATTTGTCATGATTAAGCAGTTTTGTTAGGTAAAATTTCTAGCATAAGTGTAATTCGGCTAGTAGATTGTTGGAAGAAGTGTTCAGTAAATAAAAAGAAAAGAAACATGTCTTTACTTCGTGAAGACAAAATGGCGGCTGGAAAAAAAAATAGAGGGTTGCTGTAAGAGAGTTAGTCGCCAAATTTTCGCCAAAAAACGCCAAGTTACCATAATGTAAAGATCAACCAATTTATCCTCAAGAGACTGATTGACTGTGCGAGAAACGACACAAGTCCCTGGCGTTCGATTTACTTCTAAAATTCTGTCGGCAATTTTTGCAGCTTTATCTACAGTTAAATTGGAAACCGCTGCCAAAATAGACTGAACAGTTGAAGGCAAACATTGAAGGAATAATTCTAACATTAAGTTATCAGGAACATTTAAAGATTCTGCTCGACGTTTCATATTTCTAAGCAAATCGGAAGGTTTTCGAGAACCTAATTTCTTCTCCAGATAATAATTGGGCGAATTTCTTGCTGAGAAGATTCTCCTGAACGATTTATTAACTCAGTTTTGAGCTTTGTATATGGGATCAATAGGGTCTGGTTTTATAAGTAAATCCCGTACTATTGATGCAATATCTGGAGGAAGATGAGCAACTACATAATTATATTAGTAATGGATTCTGTGATAGTTTGGGGGTGGCAAGAGCAAAGGTACTTTGACACATAATAAACCATAAAGATGGGTCTGATTGGTTATAAACCGCAATTTGGACGGCATGAACATCAGACATTGTGCAAGGTTTTTAAGCCAAAAATAAAAGCAAAAATTTAAAGAAAATGAAATTAAATGATAAGTAGAAATCAGAATTATAAAATGATCTATAATTACTACTTATCTCTGATTCGGAGGATGAAAACCGATGTAATCCATTACTTCTGGTTTGGAGATCTTGAGTGATGGCTTGTAGTCAAAACCGAAAGTGCTTGAGAACTGTTCATACGGCTTGATTTAACACAGTCCGGGTTACATTATGGTGTTTTCCTGTTTTACCACCAATCCTCGAATTCCATATCACCGATTATGTTCTTACTGCATTAATATAAATATTAATAAGACATAGTGCACAATAAAAATTAAGCTTTATTTCGGAACTTCGCGCACATTCCCCGACAGCCGGCCTGTTTCGCTCTGCTCGCTACTCGTAAGAAACTTCTCCTCTAGGGTTGCCACACCTATTGTAGGGCGCAAGGCGTGCTCCTTATTGCCATCACCACACACCCTACATACATAGTGTTAATATGAGCTTGTTTTTTTTTTTTTTAAATTCATAAATCTCTCTGTATAATTTACCGAAAAGTGAACAAAGCCATTTGAATCTTCATTTACATTCAAACATTTACATACCAGTCAATCAATGTTTTCTTTCCCAGTCATTCCAAAGAGTACAGAAACATCAGCTTAATCATACCACCAGCAGACACTTTGTGGTGTAAAGCACAAAATAAGCAACATACTTCTTAACCAACATCCATACATAAGTAAGCCCTTACAAATATTTTCCTATCTCTCCAAAATCGCTGCAATTGCACATTACAACCAATCGTGTCATAACAGGGTTTCCATAACATTCAACTACTCAGGTTACCATAAATGAAACAACAACTTGGCAATATTCCAAGGGATGCCCTAAAATATAGACTAACCATATATGTATATAGTGTATTTGTATATACACATACACAGTGTGTGTATATCTATACACACACACACACACACACACACACACACACACACACACACACTGGTAGCGAGCGGGACTCGAAACCGAGATCCTCTATTTCACTGCCTCATGCTGTCACCATCTGTAACCACCAGCCCGCCAGTGATTTTGAACACTGATTGAAATTAAATTTTTATGTGTATATAAATGTGTAAAATTATTGCAAGAAGATATTTAGGAATTTCACTCTTCAGTTTTATCAGTAGGTCATTGCATAGCAACCATCTTGGCTAATCTTTGGAATATGGTAACAGGTAGTTTGGCGACAGTTTGGTAAGGCGATAAAGGTTACTAGCTAGGACTTTAGCAGTGTACATGGATAAAGTTAAAAGTGTGCGCAATGCCATTTTTGTGCAATTCTGGGATTTTTTTAAAGTGAAAATAGGTCGACGTGTACATGGATGATACCGTGTATGTGCAATTCTTAAAAACACGGCAAGCAGTGGGCGATTCTGCACTTTGTCCCAATTTTGCACCTAATCTTCATCATGATTAAGCACTTTTGTTCCATAAAAGTTCTAGCACAAGCATAATTCGGCTAGCAGATTGTTGGAAAAAAATGTTGATTAAAAAAAAATCATGCCTTTACTTCGTGAAAACAAAATGGCGTCCAAACAAAAACTAGCAGGTTGCTGTAGCAGGGTTGGTCGCCAAATATTCGCCAAAAAATCGCCAAGTTACCCTAATCCAAAGATTAACCCAGGAATTTTTAAATAAGGCAAGTCGATATTTCCTTTTTGTACTGCATATATTAGATAACATGTATTTCCATTCTTATGCCATTTCCTTGTTTGATTTAAAATGCTGTTTTTTGAGAGTATACATTTTTTTTTTAATTATGTTTTATTGCATTATGTTTGGACGCAATTTTACTGGGGAGGGTGTTGAACGTAACCAAGAATCTTTTAATTAATTTATGAACTTTGTCTTTTCTGGCTATGATGTGTTTACCTCTACTTAGAACAACATTTTCAAGTTTCAATTTTTGTATTTCTGATTTGTACACAACATAGCATATACGTAAAAAACTATTATTCTAGCTAGAAACATGAATAAAGGATGGTATCAGATATCAGAACTAAAATAAGATGTAAATTGGAAACTGTCTGCAGGTTTTCCCCCTTCATGTATGTCCCTTTCACTACTAATATGGTTTTGCTAAAGAAAAGAATGAGGCACGCAAAATCAGGGCATTTAAGTTTATAGCATGCTCGTCCATTCAATCCTCTACTGATATTATGTAAATGTACATTATATTCATACATTTTTACACAATAAAGTAGAACATTTTAATAAATTGATACTTACCACCGAGAACGAACGATGCAACACAGGATATAAATCCTGACAGGAAAGAATTAAATGGAAATGTACCAACCAAACAACAATACACGAACTGATTGATACCGGTTAAAAGAATGTACAAAAGATAAGCATCTATAATTTTCATTCTCTGAGGGGTATTGTTCTTATAATCCTTGAAAAATACAGACAAAACTTCAATAACGTTAGAACCCATATTTATATAATTTTCAATAACAACTATTCAACAAAAAACAATTGCCCCGGTAGAGACCACGTCGCTTATTTAGCTCTGCTATTTAATTCTGGTGCCATCACTGCTGCCACTTGGTAGAGAAACAGTGGAAAGTATAAAAAAAAAAAGTGGGGGAATGTTGTGCTTAATACTTGAGCATAGAAATAAAAGCAAAAACACAAGGTACAGAAAATATTGATTTTAGATAAAATAAAATATTTTTATAGAGTAAATTAGCTAGACTTATGAATGGTGTTTTTAGTTAGAAAATGCGTTTTTCGAGCCAAAGATATGTTCATTATATGGCAACAGACTAAGTGATATTTTGTTTACAGTTTGAAATACAGAGGTTGTTATTAAAAGTTTCAGTTGAAAAGGAAGAAGTTAATAATTTTTTTATAAATTCTGGTGTGTCTCTGTTTTTGTAATATTTTGTAATGACATGCATTTTTGTAATTCATATCATTAGTTGATTACAAAATCAGTATTAGAAAAATAAACTAAATATATTGTATCATTCAGTCTATCTGGGATAATTGCGAAGGCCTGGAAAATACTTTTGTATAATTTGAGTGTGTTGTTTTTTTAATAATTGAAAGTGAAGCATATTCTTATATTTAGGAGGAGAAGATCACAGTTTTAGGTTTAATCCTAGTATCCGGTGCACAAGGGATTTGGCTACTTTTGGCGACTTTATGATGAGCAGTAAACGGTACATATACGATGAGTAGTTAAACGGGTCATTTTGGAGTTGGCGATAATTTTTCAAAATCGCGCCAAGGCTGCACCGTATACTAGGATTTTACCCAGTTTTATAGACAATATGATAGCCCTGATCATGCCATCATCTCTGCGGCAGTTTTCAGATAACCGGCCCTTGGCGATTTGTTGACGTCTCGGAAGAGAATGCATATGCGCCCCAAGTTACAATGGGCCCTAAAACAGGGGATAAAATACGGCTAAGTAAACGTCTCAAAGATGTCAAGGGTGGTAACTTTTCACAGATAAGAGCAGCTCTGAGCCTTTTGGAATGATATGATTAAATACAAAGAGTAAAAGAGTCATCTGATTTCTAAAATTTTAGAAATTAAGGCCTGGATATATGTTTTCTTTTCTAAGAAAAGAAGCTATATTAACTCTGTATGCAGCCAAATCATATGTGTGTATGTATATATATTGTAACATCAGCTATTTTCTGATAACCATTTATTTTCTGTCAAATTTATAAGTTTAATTTGATAGGTTACTCATAACCCTAACTGGTTTTGTGGAACAGAATTCAGAAGCACTTCCGCAAAGAATCCGTTAAATGTAAACATCGCCAAAAATGGCGATAAAAGTTCAAAGCTGGTAACTCGGCGAATTGGTTTGTCGGAGGTAGCAACCAGGTTCACTCTTTTAGAGAATATTTCTCCTCTGTTCGGGGCTCCGTTTTGCCACTGGCTAGCGGTGCGTCACTACCGGGTGAGGTGGTGAAAATCAGGGGGGGGGGTAAATATAACACTGCTTTTTAGAATAGTATGGCTGTTTTCTTACATAAATCTCAAAATGTTATATCTTGGGAAAGGCAGGAAACAAGATAAAATAATCTGTCTAAAAATTAGGCTTAGAGGTTCTTCCCAATGCAAAAATACAAGACCTTAAAAACCTCACTGAAAAGAGTCCTCATTATGATGAAAAATTTGTCAAGGCAGTACTAGAGTCAATTATTGAAGCTCAGATCAAACAGCATAAGCTCGAAGAAGCTTAAAGGCATAGACTCAAGAAGGAAAGGGAGAGAGAGTTTGAATTAGAACAGCTGAGGCTGAGAAATTCCAAGAATAACAGAGAAAATTCCTAAAATAATATTCCAAGGTCAATAGGAGAATTGCAAAATCAATGCAGAGATATATGATCCTGAATCATTGGATATTTCTCTTTGTTTAGCGATGTTTGAGCATCAAGCTCACAAAGCAAATGTGGATGAAGGAGACTGAGTATCGCATTTGATGTCTGTATTGCTACTGGATATTGTTTCTATTATTCTATGGGTGCTGGAAGAAGAGCTTGATAATTATACCTATGTAAATAAAATTCTTTTACATGGTTTAATTTGAATCTAGAGGATTTTCATGTTAAATTTGTTCAGCATCAGTGGCATGCAGTTACTCTATACAAGGATTTTGCTTTTGAACTGAGAAATTACCTGGATGAGTGGTTGAACAATGTGGAAGTGCAAGATTTTGATTCGCTGAAAGACTTTATATTGACAGATCAAATTAAATGTTGCATAAATAGCAAAATTCCCGAACACTTCATTTATGAATGACCCAGCATAATATATTATCCTGAATTAATCAAGAAATTAGGTGAATGTGGAGCAGTGCATAGTTCCATAAAAAAGTTGACAGGTTTTGTTTTAAAAGCACAGCACAGAACTAATTTTAAGGAAAGGAAGAAAGGTGAATCTACAAATAGAATATGTCGCAATGATGAGGGTTTGAAAGAAAAGGCTATCAAGAAATGGAAGTCAAATATCTTCAAAAAATGGAGAACACTTAGATGCTATGAATGAAATTCAGAGAATCATCTCTGACCACCATGCCCTCGAGTCGTTAATAATTTTATTATTTTGGGTACCCTCAACTGGGGGCTTTTATTGTATATTAGTACTGTGATTAGTCAATGATCTGAAGTGTTAAAATCCTTAGAGATACTGGATTCACTTTTGACTAAATATGAAGGCATGCTGAAATTTTCTGAGAGATATTTGTACAATATTACAATATCTCACAGTAGTTATATTTTAAACTACTAAAACGTTTAACAGAACTCAATTCAGAACAGAAAAAGCTGATCTGATCTCGCCGCGAATTCGCTACAGTCAATCGTAGCAGTAAGTAAACAACTAAATTGAGATATTTTGATCCCACTTTTATAAGCTTTCTACTCATGCACAAGAATATTCTGGTATTTTCTTGATTTCAATCACAAAAGAGTACAATTATGAGATATCTATTTATTAATGTTAAATGCTCGTGCTCCTGTATTTTAATTTTTCTGGCGTAACTTTCTTTTCACATAAGTCTCATGATGCATTGCATGAGAATATAAAACAATTTTAAATACAAATTCTACTAAAAATAGCTAAATAAATACAAAATCCATAATACTGCCCCTTTCCCAAGGACTGCACGTCCCGGTTAGCACAATCATTGGACAGAAAGCCAAGCTTACAACTAAGGCATAAATGCAATAATAAACATTACATTACAATAACAAAACCAATATTGCAATAAGTAACTTTAAACAAATCAAATACTAAATAAAAATCAAATTAAATAGAAATTTAGAAACAAAAAGGACCATGGACTTATACTATTTGCAATTATATGCACTACATACTATGGCCTTAGTAAGGAGCTAACCTGTTGTAATGAATGATTTTAGGTTTAGAGTTAGATGACTTATGGATCTGAACCACAACGTCTTGCAGACTGTGTGCGGACCATCCCAAGATGACTTTCCATAACCACACCTTGTCTTCTTCATTGAATTGATCTCCAGCAGCTCTTGTGTCGTATCTGGTCTTCACCTATTCCATCGCCAAGTTGACTCGCTTTTGCATCACTTCAAACTGGGCCTGGAGATCTTGGATGTATTCTTCAGGCAATGAAGTTGCATCCGAAGGGCGACCAAACAGAAGATCACAAGACAGAAGGTCATGATTAAAGAGCGTCTGAAATGGAGAATAGCCGGTAGTCTTGTGTTTCTCTTCTCCTTTAGTATGATTTTGCATCTTTCTGAGCAGGGTCTTTCAGACAAGAAGTCAGCGTTTCCAGGTGAAGATCCCTTCTAATGTTGCATAATTATGTCCTCTGATTCTGAAAGCAATATCTTGTTTTTGAAGTCCAAGGAAAAATTTTCTTTCCTTAAAAAGTCCAATCCGAGTATGCAAGGATCTGTAATATCTGCCACATATGCCGTGTGATAGTAGGCAGCACTTCTAAACAGGGTGTTCACATTTAACTTCCCAGCTATGTTGATTTCATCACCAGACGCAGTCTTGAGGGTAACACGGGATGGCATCCAAATGAGTTTATCTTTAAATTGTTGAGCTAAATCTTTCCAAATGATGGTAACATTAGCTCCTGTATCAGTGATCATACTGCAAGGAATTCCATTAATATGCCCATTGATGGATAGTCCATTACTGTTGCCACTCACTTCAGAAATCTTGAGTGCTTTTAATTGGTGTTTTTCAGTATTTGGCAACCTCCGTTCCTCGATATGGTCATTAATTTGTTTGCTGCACTGCTACTGGGAAATGGTCTTATTTTCTGTGCCCTAGGATGTTCTGCAGTTCCTTCGTACGAGGCCTTCAGCTCTGCAGTTCCAGCACTTTGGTTTCTTGTCGCTCCTTTTCTGTCATAATGACATTTAATTGTCTATTTAAATCTCTGTCTTATTTTCCATGCTCTGGGGTGTTCTGCGGTACCTTCGTATGTGGCCTTCAACACCGCAGTTCCATCACTTTAGAATTCGATTTTTTACTCTCCTATTCTGCCTCAAGGCACTGACTGGTTTTGTGAATTTTTTTTATTTTACGTGCCCTGGCGTGTTTTGCAGTTCCTTCATACGTGGCTCTCAGCACCTCAGTTTCTTCTCACTCCTTTCCTGTATCAAAGCATTGATTTGTCTGGTTAAATCATCTAAACAAGCCATCACTTGATCCACTGGCTCGTAGACTCGCACAGCTTTGACTGGGTAGCGGTCTCTACAAGTTGCTTGCTGGGCTGTCTCGAATTTCATGCGTACACTAGAGCACTTTTCAAGTCCTTGACTTCAACCATTCGCAGAGCTTTCTGTATTTCAGGATCCCGGATGCCGTTGATGAAGTATTGCATGGACAGGATTTCCCTTGTTTCTGTCGAGCATTCCGAAGAAGCGAGGTGAGATAGCCTTTCAACACGGAGCTCCTACAGTGTTTCGGTGGGCTTTTGAAGACGGGAATCCTGCTGTAGTCTTTCAAACATTTCTCCCCAAAGTGCAGCTCCAATGCCCCGGACAGAGCTTTGAAATCTAGTCTGAAGGTTATCTGCTGCGTCTGCTCTCAAAGATGCGAAATCACGGTCCTAGGTTTGGGAATCCCATCCATTGGCATCCTCTACTATAAAAAATTGTGTCTTATACACTTGCCAGGAGGTCTTTCTATCGTATGTGGATAGCTTCAGGGAGGGATGAGCAGGCATGGGTAAGAAATTTAAACCTTCAGAATTGTTTCATGCTGTCACTATGTACTTCTTTAAGTTATCAACTTCTTTGGTGATGGCAGCAGAAACCCTGTCATCAATTTGTTGTTCCATGGCAGAAACTCTCTCTTCAGTTTGTTCTTTAACAGAAGAAACTCTGTAATTGATTGCGGAAGAAACTCTCTCTTCTATTTGTTTTTTGACAGCAGAAACTTTCTCTTCAATTTGTCCAACTTTATTTTCAACCTTGTCTATTCTGCCTTCCATAGCCTCATATTTATTTTCTGTTATGTAGGTAATTTCTCTTTTCATCTCTTCTTGTCCTGCTTCAATCTTTTTCCAACCCGCTCTCATCACTTCTTGACCAGCATCCATCTTTCTTTAACGGATTCTTGGCCCACTTTCATCTCTTTTTCTCAATTCAAAACAGAGAAAGCTAATTCGAACTCACCACGAATTAGCTACAATCAATCACAGCAGTAAGGAAACAACTCGATTGAGATGTTTTGATCCCGCTTTTATAAGCTTTTCAATTGTGCATGAGAATATTCTGGTATTTTCTCGATTTTTCTGGATAGCAAAAGAGTACAATTGTGAAATATCTACTTATTAAATGTTAAATGTGTGTGTTTTAATTTGTCTGGTGTAGCTTTCTCTTCAAATAATTCTTGTGCTGCATTGCACGGGAATATAAAACAATTTTAATTACAATTTCTATTAAAAATAGCTAAATAAATACAAAATCCATAACAATCTGCGAGGGTAAGTTGAAAAATAAGTTTCCCCTGTCGACTGTGGTCAGAGTTCTGTATGAAAGTCAAAAAATAGAATGAGACATTAAAGGACATACCTTTATTTTTCCACATAGGTATCAAGTACATTGAGACATTTGTCATATTGCTTGATAAGCTTCAAAAAGCCCTCCAGGAAAACATCAGGGCTTTGCATATGGAAGAAGCGATGAATGGATGGTGTAGGCGCTCCCAACCAAGAGTTGCAATATGGTTTTGCGTTGCCGTCGCCGAATGTGGTCTGGCATTGTCATCCAACAGCAGAACATTTCTGCTGTTGTTGTCATCCAACAGCAGAAAAAGCGGCCTGGCCTTCTCACAGTCCAACCTCCAAAAGGTCCAGCAACAAAACTCCTTGGGCATCCCAGAAAACTGTGGGGAGCACTTTACCTGCAGAGGGAGTTGTCTTGAACTTCTTTCGGACAGGTGATGACGGATGTTTCCATTCTATAGATGCGGCCTTCAATTCTGGCATAAAATGGTGGACCCTTGTTTCATCCTCTGTCACAATCTGAAACAGAAAGTCATTGTCATCTTCATGGTAACATGCGAAGATGTTCCAGGCTGACCCCCATGCGTTGTTCCTTGTGTGTCAAGGTCAATTGTCGGGGCACCCATCGTGCTGACACTTTTCTGTATCAAAGAATGTCGTGGATGATGTTTTGAGCTCGTCATGTGAGATTTTAAGTTCTTCCGCTACTTCATCGATGGTGATACACCGGTTCACTCTAATCATGTCATCCACCTTCCTGACATTTGCATCTGTAGTGGCTGTGCGCGTCCGGCTAGCTCTTGGTATGTCCTCCACTTGCTGACGTCCATCACTGAATGTGCGACACCATCTCCGCACCATTTGCTTCGACATCACACCTGGCCCATAGACTTCCACTAGGCGGTTATGAATTTCTGTTCCTGATACTCCACGTGCCCATTCATAGAGGATAACAGCTCTCACTTCCTCCTTTGACCACGAATTCAAAACGCACCTTCTCTCCATACCTACCGGGGCTCAAATGAGAGGCTGGTCTCCGCTTTGTGCAGGCACCACAACAGCGCCATCTGCTTGATTTGCAGTGACTTCTACCCAATGGTGTATCAGTGACTTGCGCGTTTTCCTGCTGTGTCGCCTTTCGCCCATAGCCGTTCAATGCTTCTTCCATATGCAAAGCCCTGATTTTTTCCTGGAGGGCTTTTTGAAGCTTATCAAGCAATATGACAAATGTCTCAATGTACTTGGTACCTATGTGGAAAAATAAAGGTATGTCATATCTTTAATGTCTCATTCTATTTTTTGACTTTCATACACAACTCTGACCACAGTCGACAGGGGAAACTTATTTTTCAACTTACCTATGTAATAGTTTCCTCATAAGTGAAGACACTTAGTCAAGGGAGGACTACGGAATCTTTACAGATTAAAAACGGAAGTTTCTCCATTGACTTAACTAATACCTGATGCAAAGAAAGTGTGAAGTCTTCTCACCATTCAGACAAGAGGTCAAGCAGTGGACAAATCAAGATGGCGAAAAAGATGATTAACCACGACGTAAGTGGGCTCATTAGACTTAGAAGAAGAAAGCGGAACTTACCTAAGGAATGGATGCTGGTCCGCTAGGGCAAATTTTTGTCTGGAATTCCAGAAGAGAGAATTTGGAAAGAAAGGGGTGCTGGATGGAACATTTTCATTCAAGGTGAGTGTCCTGGAATCAAAAACTGAATATCAAAATTGAACAGACTCTTGACAAAGAAGTTTCCATGACAGGAATAAAATATTCAGCCATAGGTGGCAAAACCACAGAGATAATGAAGGCTCGGAGGGGTGAAGATGCACCCAATAAGTTGAAGTTACAACTGAATTAGGTCTCAATAGGAGCTGAGAATTTTTTGTTTTGTTTTGGGGGGCTAGTGTTTCGTATTTGCATATTGTGTACTAGTCATACTAGAATTATGTAGGATTTATTGTTTTAGAGTTTAGTGTTACAGCTGTACAACTTCGAGGTTAAGATAAAATAGCATGGCAAACAAGTATTAAATTAAAAGTCAAACAACAAAAATCAACATTACATTTACTAATTTTCACAGGACTAGTTTAGATGGTTTTATCGAACCATCATCCTCAGCTGCCAAAGTGCAAAAAAATAAATGTAGTATTCTATAAAGGAACAGGGTAGTCCTGTTCCTTTATTGAATATGCATTTTTTATAGATTCTAATTCTGCCCAAACTGTATAGTGGTTAGGAGGACTGACTGCGATACCAAAGGGCCGTGCTTCGAATCCCAGAGAATGTGTGGTTGTAATTGTCCATCTCTTCATTGGAGCAAAGGAGGCCCAAACATTGGGTGCCTCCATAAAAAAGTGACTACTGCTTCTGGCCTTAGTATTGGCCAATGTCTATGATGACTAGTGCCTACCATTGGAGGGGGGGCGGAATATTCTAATTCCCGTGATCAGCTAATGAAGAATTGAGTATATATTCTAAATATATCAATCCAAAATTATATAATTTTCAGAAAAGATTTGTCAAAAATACAGTTGCAGTAAATTCTGTACTGAGAAATTGAATTTTATTTGTTTTAAGAAAAAATATGTTCAAAGTGATATGTGTTTTATGTAATATATGTATGGTTATTTTTTTATAAAGATAATTATTTTCAGATTATAAGATGTCAGAAAGTGCTGATGATATAATTAGCAAACAACAGGCTGTTCTGGATACATACTTTAGTTTGCTTGGAAATTTCGCATTTGACAAAGCTAAAGAATATTTAGTATGTAGCCATTTACATCTCAAAACTATTATTTATATGTATGAATAATTTAATGCAGTAATTTTTATTAGAAAGGATTTATTCAATTCATGATGAGCCTTCTGTTGAGAATGTAGTTAATAAATTCATATTGAAAATTAAACAGTATATTTAGATAATTTGCCAGTCATAATGACTCAATAATGCGTCCACCAGCAACAACAACAAAAAAGAAATGTATAGAAATTAACTTATTCAAAGTCTGGGTTTATTTATGGGAAAAAAATCCCTTATTTAGTGAGTGGAAGGTAATTAAATGTATAGTTTGGGAAATAGAGCAATATGAAGCTTAATAACTTACAGCTTATTTAAAAAGAAAATTTCTGGCATTAATTTTCACATTCCATCTCATTTAACCGTGGAAAGAAAATGGACTGAACTTAATTATATTTAGTGTTTCGCTATGAGAAAATATCTTTGTTATGACTCTGTCTCTGTCTGAAGAAAGTATATGCTTGGGCTGAGAGAAAAAATGTTTCATATTGCTCATATGCTCATTTTTTCTGTATATATTCAAAAGAGCTCATAAAGAATGCCTTTATTCTTTTTTTAAGTATCTGGCATTTGCTTCTGCTTCTAAGTTCACGTGAATGAATAAATTATTTTTTTAATGTTATTGAAATGTTTACAATGCACCAATTAAAAAATTACCTTTTTTTAAAGATTGTTTGTTTATTATTACAGTACAAAGTCTGTAATCTGGACATCCATTATCTGGAATGATCTGTAATCCGGACCTCAAAGCCACAAACTTTTTTTTGTATGCTTTACGCATGCGCGTTTAGCACAAAAAACGAAGCAACTTAAACAACTTACATTGAAAGAAAATGTTTAAACATTAAAGTAAACAAATAAATATTAAGCTTTTTTTTGTAAATTTTGATACCCTTTAGATCATAATTGCTCTTTATTTCATAAATTACGGTTTCATATTTTTAATTGTATAATTTCTGCATGCCATCTTACCAGATTTAAATTGATGATCTATAATCCGGAATCACCGAAGTCCCGAGGAGTCTGGATTATGGACTTGTGCTGTATTTTGTATACAAAAGAACATTAAAAAAATTTCTTAAAAATGTTTTAAAAGAAGTCTCTTTTGTAAAAAAACAGCTAACTAAACTTAATGTATTTCATCAAACTGAATTAACTCACCAAGAAAAAATCTTAGTAATAAAAATATCAAAACTGTCCATTGTGTTGTAAATCTTGAAACAGAAGAGGATACCAGTGTAACTTCTTGTATAGTTTGTTGAATTTAATTACTTCTGTACTTTGAAAGAAGACTCAACTAATGAGTATAACTCAACTTTTATTATTACATTTTTAAACAGTTCACATGACATTCAGCTAGCACAGTAACACGTGCATCGTGCTAAGTTAAAGTTATTTTTAGTTACAGTTACAGTTGTAGTTAATTTAAATATACATCACATTCCTTCCTCCAGTTTATAAACAATAATAAAAATACCAAAAAATATCAATACAAGTATATTTACAATATGACATACAATAACAAAAAAAGTTACATAAAAATGATATATGCAATACGTTACATTATTTTATTCCATGACAAAGTCTCTATATCTTGAAGGTTGTCTAATCAACCGTCCACCACTTCTTGTTATTGTACTATTGGATAGATTATTCTGTTGATTTCCTATATTAACAGGCACAGAAACATTCTCAGGGCTTCCATTTGAATTTTCCTCTTTATCTAATACTATATCATCATAATCATTATTAACTTTGTAAGGTGATTTTGAAAATTTTATGTGGCGTCTGTTTCTTCGCAATATTTCCCCATTTGAATTTCTTACAATATAGGATCTAGGAGCTTTATGTTTTGAAATTATTTCACCTTTATCCCATTGCCCAGTTCTAAAGTTGAACAAGGTTATACTATCTCCAGGTTTTAACTCAGGTAGTTTCTGTGTGGTTCTATCATAATAATATTTTTGCCTAGCTTGAAGTGCACGAAATTTAGAATAAGGTTTGTTTATCTTAGTATTTAACAATTTATTACTGATAGGTAATTTTGTCCTTAATCTTCTATTAAGTAACAGTTGTGCAGGAGACAATTTTATTCCACTAATTGGAGTATTTCGATATTCCATTAAGCCTACACTTATATCTTGCACTTTCTTGGGGCTGTTTACAGCCGATTTTTATCATAGTAACCCACGGGGCGGATTATTTATCTCATATCAAAATTTTAGTGGGAAGTCCCTTCAATTTAATTTAGCTCTGCCCTGATGATGGAAATTCATAGCTTTGGTGTTGAACCAATAACCTGTCATGCTTGGAATAATGATAGGACACAAGTAGCACTTTCACCTAATAGTAATGAAGTTCACATATATAATAGAGATGGGGATAGATGGTCTTGTAACAATGTTTTTTCGCAACATGACTTAAGGGTCACCAGCATTGATTGGGCTCCTAACACAAATCGTATTGTAACTTGCTCAGCAGATCGAAATGCTTACGTATGGACAAAAGTAGATGACAAATGGAAACCAACATTAGTATTACTTCGTATAAACAGAGCTGCAACTTGTGTGAGGTGGTGTCCTAAAGAAACAAAATTTGCAGTTGGATGTGGTGCTTGTTTGATATCTATCTGTTTTTTTGAAGAAGAAAATGATTGGTGGCTGAGCAAACACATCAAAAAACCAATACGGTCTACAGTTACTAGTATCGATTGGCATCCAAACAGTGTTTTATTAGCATGTGGCTCAACAGATTTCAAGACAAGGGTCTTTTCTACATATATCAAAGAAATAGATGACAGACCTGAACCCACTGTGTGGGGGTTTAAAATGCCATTAGGAAATGTAATGGCAGAATTTCCAAATAGTGGCTGGGTTCATTGTGTTAGTTTTTCTGCTGATGGTACCAAACTGGCTTGGGTTAGTCATGACAGTACTATATCAGTTTGTGATGCAGAAAAAAATATGGCTTTAATGACTGTCAAGACACAGTTCCTGCCCTACCTCACTTGTGCCTGGGCTTCTAATTCAAGTATTGTTGCTGCTGGTCATGATTGCTTCCCTGTGCTCTTCCGATATGAAGGAGGTCGTCTGAATTTTGTTACAAAATTAGATAAATCCCAAAAAAAGAGAAGTTGATGGCTTTAGTGCTATGAGGAAATTTTGAGACATGGATAAACGTGCCATAGTAGAAAACAGTGTTGATACATTATTAGACACTATACATCAAAATGCCATAACAAGTTTAACAATTTATGCAGGGACCAAATTGGGTGTAACTAAATTATGTACTACTGGAATGGATGGAAAGATGGTTATTTGGAATTTATAGACTTTGGGAGATATGCTACCAAGTGAAATGTAGTGTGATATTTAACCAGTTGTATAACTGGGAAAAACTTCGCTTGGAGAACTCCATTCTTTCCCTATTGGTGCTGCCTCATGGAAGAAAACAATTCTCTTCCTTGGCATTGTTGATTATCTTCTAGTTGACTGACTAAAGAGAAGACTGTGACCATCATGAGAGAAGACAGAGGTCACAGAATATTGCCAAGATGACCAATCAGTAGGGATAGTTTTATAATTTATGAATTTAAAAAATATTGTATGAGTTCACCCCACTCCTGACACCATGTAACTTCTTGTATAGTTTGTTGAATTTAATTACTTCTGTACTTTAAAAGAAGACTCAACTAATGAGTATAACTCAACTTTTATTATTACATTTTTAAACAGTTCACATGACATTCAGCTAGCACAGTAACACGTGCATCGTGCTAAGTTAAAGTTATTTTTAGTTACAGTTACAGTTGTAGTTAATTTAAATATACATCACAACCAGAAAGCATGTCATAGTCAGGGTACATGTATCTTGATTCTTTACAGACTTTCATAATGAATTTTGCGACAAGCTGACACTTGGTTAGGGCATATGCTGATGCACTCTGGGACCCAAGGTCAAGAAAGCAGATTTCGGGGCACTACAGGCCATGGCCCGCTAGGGCTGTCTTGCCACTGAGTATTTTTTCCTCCCTAAAGCTAAGATATAGGGGTAAAAGTGCTTCAGTTTCTCATACTTTTGGACTGGCTTCTACAGTGTTAAATAGGGTACAGTTTTCAATAGAATTGTTCAAAGCGTTGGTCAAAGAAATAATTCAAACTGTTTCCACTGGCTTTTATTTCATTATTTGTTAGTAAATTTAGAGTATAATCAGTAGGAATGAAGATTGTCTCAAGAACCGTATTTCAGCAAAAATATTGAAGTCTGTTTTCTCCATTCCCAATTTGCTCTGTGTTTATTCTTGACTGCTCATATCTTGAAAGAGAGTATCACATTTTTTCCATATTAAACATATTAAATTTTTGGGGCTGATAATATTTAGATTTCACTGTATTCATAGCAGCATAAAAAAACTCATAAGAAAAAAACTTTCTTATGAGTTTGAAAAAAGAAAATATAAAATAAAACAGGCTGTTGTATGTTTTATCTTCTTGATGGATATTTTGATTTGCCATGTGGGGAAATCAGAGTATTCCTCAAGACAATATGATTTAGCACAAAAGTAAGATCGGTAACAAAGTTCTAATATAAATGTCATAATAAAGAATATTTCTCTAAATATGGTATAACTGTTGGATCATGTACATAAAAAAAGTTTTGCAAAATTTTTAAATGATTTACTTTATTTATGTTACAGAATGTGCCAAGATAAAGATTAAATTTTTAACAACATATAAGATGCAAAAAAGGTTTAATGATGCAAATGATGGAATATATTATAATTTCCCCATATTCTGTTTTGCTCACATTAAGGTTACAGCCAAAGAACTTGGAGTAATATTCAGTAGCCTTTTAATTTAAAAATTAATAATAATACTAATAAAAGCTTATTAAATTTGTAAAACTGGTAGAACAAAGGGTACTTACGTATTAACGCAACCAGGCCAAAATTCGGATAAATCGCCAAATTTGGCGACCCTACTTATGGCAACTTATGTTAATTTATTAAACCTACATTGTGCCATTCATAGATGTTTTTTTAAGTTAAAACATGTCGCTGTGTACATGGATTCTTGTCTATATTTCGAACTTTAAGCCTAAAATGTCTCCAAAAACGCGGTTTTTGCACATGCAAAAACTACGTTTTGAACACACGACTTAAGCTAAAAATCCAAAACAAAAACAAAAAATTTAGGTAGCAAAAACGTAAAGTTTCTGACCAAAAATATTTGACAAGAATCCATGTACACAGCGACATGTTTTAACTTAAAAAAACATCTATGAATGGCACAATGTAGGCAACAAACGAATCTACGAACTACGCACACCTCGCTTTAATAAATTAACATAAGGTTGCCGTAAGTAGGGTAAACAAAATAATATTAAAAACTGTATTAAAAATTATCTGTAATTAATAAATAAACATTTTCTTTCTATTCATACTTTTTTACTCAAACTTACAAACCGCACCAACCTGGTTGCGATAATACGTAAGTACCGAACAAAGTAACAATTTTGTTAGCAACATTTCTGTTATATTGATCTTTCCTTAATTGTTTCATTGCATCAACTGTAAACATCGTGCTTTTGTGTTTCTAGTCTTTGTAACAAAAATAATTACTGTTTAAACTTAATTATTAATATAGTTAAAGGAAAATAAATAACATTTCTTCGAGGTGTCAGTTATTGCATTGAACATCATTGACAGTCATGCTCTTGAACTATCTTAAAATTGTGTGGAACTCAGATAGTTGTCCTTTTGGTGAAACTGCTGTCTAAAAACTAAACTAAAAGAATAATTTTCATTTTTCTTTAAGATATGGCATATTTTCTTGTGATAAAGCTGTCATGTAATGCAAAAATTAGTGAATATTTAATTTTTGATTGATATGGTAATCTCATATTATATAATATGGTATGTAGCAATCACATATTATATATATTATATCGTAGTTAAACCCCACTGTAGTGAAATGTAACTTATAACAAACCCCTGGTTATAGAAAATGAACTTCTTGGCCCATCCAATATCTTTCAAAAATTGTTATGGCAGTAACGAATTTCCAATTATATAAAAATCGGATATAATGAACTTCGTTGATATATTGTCGACTGAAATTTTTTTATCTTTTTCAATTTTTTAATTAAGAATTTCTGTAACTTTCATTTGAAAAATTACTAATTCTTTAATTCATTCTGTTTAGGGTATTAGAATAACAAATCATCTTTAATTTTCTGTTCTTTTATCTTCACCCCAACCTTTCTCTATGTTTGGAATAAAAGGCTCAGGTGTAGCGTTCAACTCAGAAAACCAAGATACCTATAAACATACCTTAGGAGGTTCTACTGTGTCACATACTGAGCCAAAGAATCATTGATCTAGTGAGGCAGAGCTGAATCGGTTCTTTGACTGAGCTCTCAGACAGCACTGTCATCAAGGTTGATGCTTATTAAAAATTGTAAATGGAGGGATGAGTTTAAACCATGACAATCATGCCAAGTAATTTTTCATGTAAAATTATTAACAGATGGTGAAAATTAAAAAAGTGAAAAGGAGTTTAATAATTGAACATAATAATAGTATTCAACTTTTAATATGCATATTTTTAATTAAAGCTACTGTTCAGAATAAGTACAAGAAATGATGGCACAGATTCAAAATACAGTCAAAAGTCTTTAATCCGGACTCGTCGGGACTTCGACGATTCCAGATTATCAGTTTTTCCGGATTATAGATCATCAGTTTAAATCTGTTAAGATGAGATGCAGAAATTATAAAATTAAAAATATGAAACCATAATTTAGGAAATAAAGAGCAATTATGATCTAAAGGGTATCCAAATTTACAAAAAAAAAAAAAAGCTTAATATTTAATTGTTTACTTTATTAAACATTTCTTTCAATTCGCATGCATAAAGCATACATTACGCATAGTCGAAATTAGAAAATTGCAATGAGAAAACTATTTGATGTGTATTCGTGATATTTATAATGACGAGGAATTTGATTTAAATTATATCAAAGACAGAGTACATCGAGATGGAATACTACATTTAGTAAGGAATTATAAGCCGAATAAAATAAAAACATCTGCTCTGAAGATAAGGATAGTGCTGACAGATCAACTTCCAGTTCATTGCGCTCCGCGTCCCTCCCCCCGTCACAGAGCAGTGTGAAATTGATAAACATATTTCAGAATGGTTAGAGAATCAAAGGATATGCCTTTATCCATTTTTTGCAGGAATTCCACTTTTTGTTTGATGGACATCAAATATGCTTTTGCTTTGTAGATCCTTTGGTAGCTCCAGAATCAGAAATTCTTTTTGACATAATCGAAAGTTCAAGCTTACTTTTATAAAAATTGCTCGCTTTGTAGATTCTTTCGTAGCTCCAGAATCGGAAATTCTTTTTGACATGATTGAAAGTTCAAGCTTACTTTTATAAAATTGCTCTAACAGTCTGCAAAAAATAATAAGCCGGATCCAATTAGAAGATTAAGGAACAACGCAATCTGCAACATTAACTGAAATAGATAATTTTAGCTTAGCTTATACCGTCCATTATACATTAAACCGTGTAAATGCATATGCGCATGCGTTAACACGTTATGCGTTGACGCATGCACAGAAAGTTTGCAGCTTTGAGGTCTGGATTATGGATCATTCCGGATTATGGACATCCGGATTAAAGACTTTTGACTGTAATACTAACTAAGTTAGGCCACACAACTTATTTAATTATTTATATAATGTACAATATTGCAAAGTTAATTGCTCTATTAGCACTGATATGATTGCTGTTTGACGAGTGAAGACACCATAGGTCCACTGTGTTAGTGCTTCGGCTACTAACCGAACTAAACTTGTCTCCTCTCACAAAAGGGCACTGCGTTAAATCAAACATTTTGAATCAGGTTTCAATAATTATATATAAATTTACTTTTAAATTCAAACTTGTATGTGGGCCCACCAGCGGTCAAGTGGTAAAATTGCTGAACACTGGTAGTTCGGTCTGAGGTTCGATTTCCCCGAACAGGCTGGCTACATGGGTGTTTTCGTGGTTTTCTCCATGTGTAACGTGTGTACGAGCCAGTTTCCCTGAGAAAGTTCTCCATGAAGGCATCCCTTCCGTTAGGCAGATAGCCCTCGAGGCTTTGTCATAATTAAATTACCTAAACCTAACAAACTTATATGTGCCATATGAAATGCACAATGAAGTACAATTTAACAGAACTTATTTGAACTGTCATTAAATTCAATATCATATAGGAATAATAATGTCACACATAGCAAAGTATTACACTTGTACTAAAATGAATTAAATAAGTGAATAATGTCTACCCATAATATGAAAATTTCACATTTGATTGTTGTCCTGTATGGGAAAATACTGACAGGCCTTGTAAAGACTCTTTGCAGTGCATACATTACTATCCTAACTCTTTTATATCCCATTGGGGTATAACGTCTTCAACTCGACCTAAAACCCAGTGGCAGATAAGCA